ACTACGACTACTACTACTACTCCTACTACTACTACTCCTACTACTACTCCTATTATTACGGCCACCACTACTACTACTTCTTCTACTACTACTGCTGCTGCTACTGCTGATGCTGCTGCTGCCGCTGCTGCTTGTGCTGCTTTCACTGGTCCCACTTTTATGATTACTGGTACTAATTTGGCCACTACTGGGACTACAACTCCTCCTCCTCCTCCTCCTCCTCCTACTACTACTACTACTACTACTACTACTACTCCTACTCCTACTCCTACTACTACTACTACTACCACGACTACTACTACTACTACTACTACTACTACTACTACTACTACTACTACTACTACTACTACGACTACACCAACAACAACAACTACTACTACTTTTACTACTACAGTTACTACTACCCCTGCTACTACTACTACTACTACTACTACTACTACTACTACTGCTACTACTCTTCTACTGCTACTACTGCTACTGGTACTGCTACCATGACCAGCACTACGAATAGTGTTGATCTTGCAAATACTCTTCTATTTCGATCATAAGAACCAAATCAACGACTATTTTTTTTAGCAGCTGTATTAGTCAAAATATTTCCATTATCATCACGATTAATATTCAGACGATTACTTTTATTACTATTATTTTTTCAATTGCAACTCGTACAACTTACACTGTTACAGTTCCAACCAATAGCATCACCAACCAGTCCTACTACTACTACTAACTACCACTGCTACTGCTACCATTGCTACCTCTACTGCTATTACTACGACTTGTATTGTTACTTCTACTTTTTACTTGTTCTTTCGCTTTTGTTGATACTTTTACGTTTACTTGTAATTTTCCTCTTACTTTTACTTACACTTTCACTTTTACTTGTACTTGTACTTGCACTACCACTATTACTACCGCTGCTACTGCTACTACTCCTACTCCTACTCCTACTCCTATCCTTATTCCTTATTAGAATATACTCCTACTCCCCCCTCAGGCCGGCCCTTAGGGGCCGCATCCGGGGGGTCCCATCCTAACCTGTAAAAAACAATTCAACATCAACATTTTTCTTATTTTTTCCTCTCGACATGGACGTCCTGTCGTCCACGGCGATAATCCATTGCAAAAAATACCACAAAGAGCACACGCGCGCGTTCATGTCAGAATCCTACCGAACACCGTGTGTTTGCAAGCATTTCAACATAAAAACATCAAAAACCCAATGTTTTTTTTTTTCACAAAAATTGTACAAATTTCCCGCCCGGGCTCTCTTGCTGAAATCATAGGAAAACCATAGGAATCTTAAGAATTCGGTCAAATCCAGCGATTTCACGTCATCGCGCGGTGCACTCGCGATGCTCTGTCATGCACCCAGGCCGCGAATCCTGTGCAAAAAATACCACAAAGAGCACACTCGCGCGTTCATGTCAGAATCCTACCGAACACCGTGTGTTTGCAAGCATTTCAACATAAAAACATCAAAAACCCAATGCTTTTTCACAAAAATGCTTTGGGGTGTCCTGTCAGACCGTCGGGCTTCCTCCGGCCACCTCTGGCTTCCTGCGGTGTACCGGGCCATTCTCGACTCGTCTGGCAATGCGTGCGCGGCATTCAACACGCGCTCGCCAGTTCCCGTCGGCAACCGCCATCGCGGCCGCATCAGCTGTACCAAACCGGCTGGCCGGTGTGACTTCGGCCCCCAGTTGTGCCAGCTTTGCTTCTTATGTTGTGGGAGGGCGGGTGGGACTGGGCATGCCATGCTTGACTCGCTCGAGCTGGCTAGCTTGACTCCTACTCCTACTCCTACTCCTACTCCTACTCCTACTCCTACTCCTACTCCTACTCCTACTCCTACTCCTACTCCTACTCCTACTACTACTACTCTACTACTACTACTACTACTACTACTACTACTCTACTACTACTACTACTACTACTACTACTACTACTACTACTACTACTACTACTACTACTACTACTACTACTTCTACTACTACTACTACTACTACTACTACTACTACTACTACTACTATACTACTACTACTACTACTACTACTACTACTACTACTACTACTACTACTACTACTACTACTACTACTACTACTACTACTACTACTACTACTACTACTACTACTCTACTACTACTACTACTACTACTACTACTACTACTACTACTACTACTACTACTACTACTACTACTACTACTACTACTACTACTACGACGCTACTACTACTACTACTACTACTACTACTACTACTACTACTACTACTACTACTACTACTACTACTACTACTACTACTACTACTACTACTACTACTACTACTACTACTACTACTACTACTACTACTACTACTACTACTACTACTACTACTTACTACTACTACTACTACTACTACTACTACTACTACTACTACTACTACTACTACTACTACTACTACTACTACTACTACTACTACTAGTATTACTACTATGTTTATCCTGCTTCGGGAGGAGGAGGATGAGGAGAAACGGAGGAGGAGCAGGGTAGTGACGGCGACGACGACTATTATTACTATTACCCCTCCTGCCTTCCTACAGAAGGCCGCCCCTCGCCCCTCGCCCTGCCCTGCCCTGCCTCCCTGGCCAAGCGCCGCCCGCCGAGGTTCTGCGGCTTCCCCAACCACACGAGCGTGAGCCAGATCCTGTGCCCGAGCACCAACAGGTGCCCCGGCGAGGGCGCGCCCTCGTTCCCGCAGTGCACGCCGGGCGAGGCGGACGCCTGCGCCTGCGAGCAGGAGATGGACGGCGACCAGCAGAGGAAGACGTGCGCGTGCCCGCAGACGGGCGACTGCTACGACTCGGTGCCGCCCGGCCAGGAGCCTCCTGCCGGCGAGGACGACCAGGCGGTGGAGGCGCCGCGCTGCCCAGGGGGCGGCGGGGGCCAGAGCTCCAGCGCCACGGAGACGTCGTGGTGGCCGCATCTTCCGGTCTCCGGAGGGCCCTCGGAGGTCCCGGCGTCCCCAGGCATCCGACGGCTGCATACTTCCGCCGAGAGGGCGGTGCAGCACGAGCGGTGGGCGTCGGCAGTGCAGTCGTGGCCACGTTTTATGTCATTCCTCAAATCAAGAATGGGGCTCATGTTTTCTCTGTACACCCCCGCGCAGGAACCTCACACCTCGCCCCCCTCTTCCTCCTCATCACCATCACAACCATCACTTTTGTCATCACCATTCACATCATCACCATCACCATCACCATCACTATCACCATCACCATCACCATCATCATCACCACCATCACCATCGTCATCACCACCATCACCATCACCCTCACCCTCACCACCATCATCTCTATCATCATCATCGTCATCATCATCACCATCATTATCAGCATCAGTTTCATCATAATCTTCATTATCTTCACCATCATAACCACCATCACCACCATCCCCATCACCACCACCATCACCACCACAATCATCGTCAGCATCAACATCAGCATCAACATCAACATGCTCAGCATCATCACCATCTTCACCACCATCGTCATCACCACCACCACCACCATCATCATCATCATCATCACCATCATCATCATCCTCATCATCATCACCATCACGATCACCACACAGACTCACTCGTACTCACACTCGCGCACTCTCATCACTCATCATCATAACGTACTCATCACTCATCATCACTCATCACCAGGCCGTACACACGCACACTCATACTCACCTTGAGAGAAGTCTCGAGCGGGGGGGCCCTCTGTATGGGGCCTGCGTTTCACGTTGGTGATCTGGGCGGGTCATGAGCCGATCGGTGGGGGCGAGAGTGATCGATGAGACCCACGGCCGCGCCGCGGCCGGCTCGGGCTCTCTGCGCCCAGGGCCCACACCTGCATCCCCTGGGGCCCGCACTCTGCACGGGGATCCAGCAGGCCCCCCTCCGTCCCCGCTCCCCGCTCCTCCCCCCGCCCGCAGCCTCTGTCGGCCACGGTGGGTCTCCTGGCCCCGCTTCCCTGGGGCCCCGGTCCCGGGCCCCGCCGGAGGCCTTCGCAGAAGACCACGCGCCCGGCAGCGACTGCGCGGAGGGCCAGCCCGGGGCTCAGCGCGCCCCGCTCGTCTCGGCGGTCGCCCTCAGACCTTCTGCACGGCCAGGACGCGATCGCAGGCCCACGAGGGTGTGCGGATCCTGGCTTGCTCGCGCGCGCGGCCGCGGCGCGCTTGCTGCGTTGCGCGGGGTCCCCAGCCCCGGTGTTTCTCCCGCTCGGGTGGGGCCGGCAGCCCCAGGGCCCGAGGTACTGCGGCTTCCCCAACGGCACGAGCGCGAGCCAGATCCTGTGCCCGAGCAACGGCAGGTGCCCCGGCGAGGGCTCGCCCTCGTTCCCGCAGTGCACGCCAGGCGAGGCGGACGCCTGCGCCTGCGAGCAGGAGATGGACGGCGAGCAGCAGGCGCTGACGTGCGCGTGCCCGCAGACGGGCGACTGCTACGACGCGGTGCCGCCCGGCTCCTCGGACGCGGGCGGGTCCTCGACCACCAACGTCTCCTCGGCCGATGGCAACTCCTCGGACGCGGGCGTGGACGAGGACGCGGGGAGGGAGGGAGCCCAGACCTGCGACGTGGCATTTTTTTCACGACGAGGGCCCCATCCCCGGTGCCCCTCTGGTGGTGGGCCCGATCAACGGGTCTCCGGGTTCGGGACAAGCCAGCCGTCGTGATTTTTGCTTCCCGGCGCCACGAGCACGAGCTCTGGGAGGCTAGTGGGCCCCGACCCAGTCTTGCTTGGCCTCGGGGGGCCCAGCAGCGGCCCCCCGAGGCCGACGCGAAGGAACCAACCTCGCCGCGAGGGAACTCCCTGCGCCCTGTCGCGGGCCCCCGAGGACCTCAGCCCGGGCCACCACTGCGAGGCAGAGCAGCCCCCGGCTCAGCGCGCGCCCCTCCCCGGAGGTGCGAAGCCGCGAAGAGGAGCTGCGACTCCGCGGGGCACCACGGCACGCAGACCGCGCCTGTCTGCGGCCGAGCCGGATCCATCTGTCAGGGTCCCGGGGCCCGACGCCAGGCGAGGGCGCACGGCGTGAAGACTTGCAGCGCCCGGATCTCCGGGCCCGCCCGGCCGCGCCCGATCCGATGCGGGTCTGATGCAAGCCCGGTGCCTGCCAGGCGCTGCGGTGCATCCTCTCTCCTCTCGCAGCCGCCTCGACCCGATCTCGGCCACGTGCCGACGCAGCCCGGCCCGTCGCGCGTGCCGCGTTCCGGCTCGGTTCGATTCTCCGGATCCGGCGGCTCGGCCAGTGGGGTAGTTTGGGCCGCGGGCGGGCGTGCGCGCAGCAGTCCAGCAGGGTCCTCAAGATGAGCCGCCTTTCAAGGGGGACCCGTCGGCGGCGCGCACAGGGGAGTGGCAGGAAGGGGGCGGCCTTCTTGGAAGGCGAGGGGTTTCCGAGAAGCCAGGGGCCTTCGTAGGAGGGCCAGGGCGGGGCTTCTAAGCCTTGTGATGGAGGCCGGAAGGGCTTCCAAGAAGCCCCCCCTCCGCCTTCCTGGAAGGCCCCCCCGTACCCTCCCCACCCCTGCACCCTTAGAAGGCCCCCCCCCCTCTCGCTCTGTACCCGCTGGTGCGCGCCGCCAAACCCTTGACGCCACTAACTCGGTGGCTCGCTGGCCACTTCCGCTCAAGAGGCTTCGAGCTTGGGCCTGGCCGCGCATCCCTCTGGTCCTGCCTGCCCGCCTCTATAGAAGAAGCCTTCCCCCTCGCCCTGCTGGGCGCCTCCCGCCGAGGTTCTGCGGCTTCCCCAACCACACGAGCGTGAGCCAGATCCTGTGCCCGAGCACCAACAGGTGCCCCGGCGAGGGCGCGCCCTCGTTCCCGCAGTGCACGCCGGGCGAGGCGGACGCCTGCGCCTGCGAGCAGGAGATGGACGGCGACCAGCAGAGGAAGACGTGCGCGTGCCCGCAGACGGGCGACTGCTACGACTCGGTGCCGCCCGGCATGGAGCCTCCTGCCGGCGAGGACGACCAGGCGGTGGAGGCGCCGCGCTGCCCAGGGGGCGGCGGGGGCCAGAGCTCCAGCGCCACGGAGACGTCGTGGTGGCCGCATCTTCCGGTCTCCGGAGGGCCCTCGGAGGTCCCGGCGTCCCCAGGCATCCGACGGCGTGCTTCTGTTGGCTTCTGGTCGCTTGCTCGGCTGCATACTTCCGCCGGGAGGGTGTGGGCGTCGGCAGTGCAGTCGTGGCCACGTTTTCTGTTATCGGTACGGGCTTCGCCCTCTGCCGCCGGTCCCCCCCCCCTCTCTATCATAATGGGATGTATCCGAGTCGCGTCGGTGCTTCTCGACGCTGCCTTGGCGCATCTGGGAACATCATGCGGGGCGGATAGGAATCATCAGCGCATATTGAGACGTTGGCGTTATCCTAGTGGCTGTCGGCCCGTTGGCCACCGTGTCTTGGTTGTTGGTCTGAGGCCTCTTGTAGGTGTTGGGGTGTCGTGGGGAGCCTCTCGGGGGCCTCTTGGAGGCAGTTTGAGCGCCTCTTGGGGGTCTCTTGGGGCCTCGTGGTGTATCTTTTTCCCAACCCTCCTGCGTTGGGTACTCGTTTTGAATAGAGCACTGCGGTCGCGCCTTCCCTCCTCCTTCCCGTCCCCCTCCTCTCCTCCCTTCTCCTCCTCCTCCTCTTTTCTCTTGCATCCCTTCTCCTCTATTCGCTCCTCCTCTTTTTCCCAACCCTCCTGCGTTGGGTACTCGTTTTGAATAGAGCACTGCGGTCGCGTCTTCCCTCCTCCTTCCCGTCCCCCTCCTCTCCTCCCTTCTCCTCCTCCTCCTCTTTTCTCTTGCATCCCTGGGGGGCTGCGATCTGTGAAACTGTCGCCACTTTCGAGGGCTGCTGGGGGGTTCAGCGGAGTGACGTCTTACGGGGACTCAGATTAGACCTCGCCATCGCTGGGGGGCTGCGATCTGTGAAACTGTCGTCACTTTCGAGGTCTGCTGGTGGGTCCAGCGGAGTGAGGCACCACGGGGACTCAGATTAGACCTCGCCATCTCTGGGGGTGGCTGCGATCTGTCTGTGCGAAGCTGTCGAGCTTCTGAAACTGTCGGGGCTGCTGGTGGGTCCAGCGGAGTGAGGCACCACGGGGATTCAGATTAGACCTCGCCATCCCTGGGGGGGCTGCGATCTGTGAAACTGTCGCCACTTTCGAGGGCTGCTGGTGGGTCCAGCGGAGTGAGGCACCACGGGGATTCAGATTAGACCTCGCCATCTCTGGGGGGGGGGCTGCGATCTGTGAAACTGTCGCCACTTTCGAGGGCTGCTGGTGGGTCCAGCGGAGTGAGGCACCACGGGGATTCAGATTAGACCTCGCCATCTGTGGGGGGCTGCGATCTGTGAAACTGTCGCCACTTTCGAGGGCTGCTGGTGGGTCCAGCGGAGTGAGGCACCACGGGGATTCAGATTAGACCTCGCCATCCTGGGGGGCTGCGATCTGTGAAACTGTCGCCACTTTCGAGGGCTGCTGGTGGGTCCAGCGGAGTGAGGCACCACGGGGACTCAGATTAGACCTCGCCATCTCTGGGGGCTGCGATCTGTGAAACTGTCACCACTTTCGAGGGCTGCTGGTGGGTCCAGCGGAGTGAGGCACCACGCGGACTCAGATTAGACCTCGCCATCTCTGGGGGGCTGCGATCTGTGAAACTGTCGCCACTTTCGAGGGCTGCTGGTGGGTCCAGCGGAGTGAGGCACCACGGGGATTCAGATTAGACCTCGCCATCTGGGGGGGCTGCGATCTGTGAAACTGTCCCACTTTCGAGGACTGCTGGTGGGTCCAGCGGAGTGGGGCACCACGGGGACGGGGACTCCGATTAGACCTCGCCATCCCTGGGGGGGGGGCTGCGATCTGTGAATCTGTCGCCACTTTCGAGGGCTGCAGGGGGGCCCAGCGGAGTGAGGCACCACAGGGACTCAGATTAGATCTCGCCATCCCTGGGGGGCTGCGATCTGTGATGTGAAACCGTCGCCACTTTCGAGGGCTGCTGGTGGGCCCAGCGGAGTGAGGCCCCACGGGGACTCAGATTAGACCTCGCCATCTCTGGGGGGCTGCGATCTGCGAAATTGTCGCCACTTCCGAGGGCTGCTGGGGTGACCAGCGGAGTGAGCCCCCACGGGGACTCAGATTAGACCTCGCCATCGCTGGGGGGTGGGCTGCGATTTGCGAAATTGTCGCCAGTTTCGAGGGCTGCTGGGGGGGGGGGGGGCAGCGGAGTGGGGTACTCAGATTCGACCTCGCCATTCCTGGGGGACTGCGATTTACGAAACCGTCGCCACTTTCGATGGCTGCTGGGGGGCCAGCGGAGTGGGTCATACGCAGACTCAGGCTCGACTTCGCCATCCCCGAAGAGCTGCGATCTGTGAAACTGTCGCCACTTTCGAGGGCTGCTGGAGGGCCCAGCGGAGTGGGGACATATTCGGATTCAGATTAGACCTCGCCATCCTTGGGGGGCTGCGATCTGCGAAGCTGTCACCCCTTTCGAGGGCTGCTGGGTGGCCCAGCGGAGTGACGTCATACGCGAGCCTGGGGCTTTAATCCTCGTTCTTTCGATCGTCGTCCTGTGAGCCGTGCAATGCGTGCGCATCCCATGTAGCTTGCACAGCAATTCACATCGCCTACATTATCGTTGTTCCTGCTAATGTTGGCCTACTCCTCTTGCCACTTGATGCACGTGGGTTGGGTACGTCGCAGGGTAATTGACCTCTTGGATGCCTTTTTGGCGCGTCTTGGGCGCTTCTTGGGGCCTCCTGGGGGCTTCTCGGGGCTTCTCGGAGCGCTTCTTAGACCATCTTGGAGCCCTCTCGGGCCGTCTTGGGGCCTGCTTGGATGCGTCTTGGGCTGTTTTGGGGCGGTCTCAGGAGCTTCTTGAGCCATCTAGGAGCGTCGGAAAGCCGAAAATGCGAGAACCCCAAGCTCCTTCAACAACTTTTTTCGTAAAGTTGACGATGTTGGCCTCTTGGGGCTCTCTCGGGAGGCCTCTTGGAGACGGGTTGGGCGCCTTTTGGGAGCCTCTTGAGGCCTCGTGGGGTATCGGTTGGACCTTTTGGAGGCCTCTTTGGCGCGCCTTGGGCGCCTATTGGGGCCTCTTGGGGCCTCTTGACGGTCTCTTGGGGCCTCCTGGGGGCTTCTCGGGGCACAGATATCGAATGTTCGGTTCGTGGTCCCCTGCTTGGGCCCCTCTTGGGGCCGTCTTGGGGCTCTTGTGGGCCGTCATCAGCGCTTTTATTCTTGGGCTTGCGCCACACCGCCGACCCCCCGGGGAACTGGCGGTTGTTACGCGTTGCTACTGAGGGCCTCTTGTGGGCTGTTTGGGGGGTTTCTTGGAGCTCGTTTGGGGCTTCGCGGGGCCATTTTCGGAGCTTTTTCGGGGACCTCTTGGGCTGACATTTTCAGTATTCGCCGTGCACGCATGGGGAAAGGGGCGAGAACCCACGACGAATTATTGAATCGCTTCGCTCATTCCGCCGGCCCGTGATATGGCATCGCTGGTTTTTGTCTGTGTGTTCGTTGCCCATGTTGCGCTCTTGGGGGCGGGTGTCGTTCGGACGCGTTGCGTGGGGAGTTTTGATGGTGAAGCAGTTCCCTGGGGGTCGTCTCTCGATGGGGCGAAATAGAGTCGTCGTCAAGATGCTTCTTTGGGGGGCCTCTTGGGGTCTGTTGAGAGGCCGTTCGGGGGCGCCTGGGAGACATGTTTGAAGCCTTCTGGGGCTTCTTTTGGGCCTCCTGGGAGTCTCCTGGGGCCTCTTGGCGACATCTTGGGGCCTCTTGGAGGCCTCTTGGGGCCTCTTTGGGACCTCCTGGGCGCCTTCTGGGACGGAGGGCTCCATTTTTGAGTTCTCGGTATCCCTCCTGAGTCCCTCTTGGGCCCGTCTTGGGGCCTCTTGGTCCGTCTTGGGCGGCACTTGGGCCGTCTTGAGGGCTCTCTTGGGTCGTTTCGGCGCCGTCTTGGGAGCTTCGTGGGCCGTCTTGGGGCGGTCTTGGGGGCCTCTTGGGCCGTCTTGGAGCGTCCGGAAGCCGAAAAAGCCGTTGTGGGAGCCTCTGGCGCCGTCGTCGTGAGAATCCTCTCGGGGGCCTGCGGGAGGCAGTTTGGAGGCTTCTGGGGAGCTGTTTTGGGGCAGCTTGGGGCTTTTTTTGGGCTTGTTGGGGGCCTCTTGGGGGCTTCTTGGAGCCTCTTGGAGGCCTCTTGGGGCCTCCTTGGCGCCTTTTGGGGCGGAAGGCTAGAATTTTAGGTTCGTGGTCCCCGTCTGGAGCCTTTCTTGGGCCCCTCTGTGGGCCCTCTTGGACTGTCTGAAGGCCCTCTTGAGCCGTTTTGAGGCGCTCTTGGGCCGTGTTGGGGCCCACTTGGGAGCCTCTCGGGTCGTCTTGATGCCGTCTTGGGGGCTTCTTTCGCCGTCTTGGAGCGTCGGAAGCCCGAAAAAACGCGAAGGCCAAAAACGTTGAAAAAACCAATGGAAATCGACGATTTTGGCCTCTTGGGGCCATCTTGGGAGGCGTCTTGGAAGCTTCTTGGGGCGTCTTGGAGGCATCTGGGGCCATCTGGAGGCCATCTTGACCGTCTTCGAGTGTTTTTTCGGCGACTCGGGGCCCTCTTGGACCGTCTGCAGAGCTTCTTGGGAGCCTCTTCGCTCGTTTGCGGCCCCCCCAGCAGACTCTCTGGAGCGGATGACCCCCCCCGGACCGCGCCGGCGGATCCCGGGGAATCCGGCCGGACCCCCCCCCCCCCCCTCCAAAACGACCGGACCAGGCTCCGGGGGGAGGGGTTTGGGGAGGGGGGAAGCATCTCACACGCCGATGACCCCAAGGGGTCGGCGGATTTGCCTCTTGGGGGTCTCTCGGGAAGCCTCTTGGAGCGCTCTTGGGGCTACTTTGGGCCCTCTTGGGCCGTCTTGGAACCATCTTCGGGCGCCTTGGAGCACTCTTGGCCTCGGCAATGCGAATACGGCGTATTTTGCGAAGGCTTCTGGCTTCAGGGACACGAGTATTGGGTAATGT